TTTGTGCCTTGAATATAGCATCCTAGTTTTTGAATGGCCCACACAATGGACAAACATTCTTTCTCCGAGGCACTGAAAGCCTCTTCTCGGGGAGTCAGCTTCCGACTGAGATAGAGCACCGGATGCTCTTCACCTCCCTCGTTAAGTTGGGCCAAGACGACACCTAGACCTCGGTTGCTGGCGTCGCATTGGAGAATGAATTCTCGGCTAAAGTCTGGCGCGACAAGCACGGGCCGAGAAGACAAAGCTTTCTTCAAGTTTTGGAAGGCCTCCTCCCTCTCGGTGCTCCAAGTTACCACTTCCGGTTCAGGTTTTCGCAGGCTGTCGGTTAGCGTGCTGGCGAGCTCCGAATAATTTGGAATGTAGTGCTGGTAATAGCCTGTCATTCCTAGAAATGTTCGCACCTCCCTTTTGTTTACGGGTCTTGGGAAGTTGACTATCGCAGCTACTTTGGCTTTCATTGGTTCCCGTTTTCCCTGCCCTATGTCGTGTCCCAAATACGTGACACGGGCTTGGCCGAACTGACACTTCTCGGCTTTAATAGTCAGGCCCGCCCCTTTGATTCTTTCAAGCACCGTTCGTGTGTGCTGCAAATGAGACTCCCAATCATTAGAAAATACGGCCACGTCGTCTAGATATGGCACCGCAAATTCTTCTAGTCCTTCTAGCACCCGATCCATTAACCTTGAAAAACAGAAGGGTGCGTTTTTCAAACCAAAGGCCATGGTGACGGGCTGATAAACGCCAAAGGGTGTTACAAATGCCGCATACCGACTTGCTCGTTCAGTTAAGGGCACCTGCCAACATCCTCTCACTAAATCTAGGGTTGAAATGAAGGTAGCCCGGCTTACCAGCTCCACCCTTTCCTCTATGTTAGGCAACGGGTACACCTGGTCTTTTGTGATCGCATTCAACCTGCGATAATCGACGCATGGCCGTGGTTCTTTCCCCGGCACCTCGACCAACATCAAAGGGGAGCAATAGTCACTATATGCTTCTTTGATCACGCCAAGGCGAAGCATCCTTTTAACTTCCGCCTTCATTAAGTCCAGCTGTCGCGGAGACACGCGGTACGCCTTCGAGCTAAAAGGGACCTCTGTAGTCAGCTCGATATCATGTTGTACCAAATGAGTCCTTCCGAGCCTTTCCCCAAAACATTCCAGATATTCCTGAATAAGGCTCTTCAGATCCTCGACTTTAGCTGTACCCAACTCGTCTTTGTTAACTGCACACGCGATTATCTCTTCTACACTAGGGCCCGTGTTCCCAGGAAAACAAGGTACCTCTAGAGAAACCTCTTCTGAAACATTCATGGCGATGCTAACAATTGCTGCTCGCTCTAAAAATGGCTTCATTAGGTTTACGTGGTAGACCCTGTCCTCGCGTTTTCTTCCAGGTAATCTCACGGTGTAGTTTACTTCCGAAAGGCGACTGATAACCTCGGCAGGTCCATCCCAGTGGACTTCCAGTTTATTCTGGCGATTAGGCCTCAATATCATCACTTTGTCGCCCGGGTTGAATGATCGCGTCCTGGCATTTCTATCATAGTAGCGCTTTGAAGCGTCTCGCCTCGCCTCTAGGTTGCCCTTCACGATCTCACGACACTTATGTAACCTTTGCATTAGGTTCAACACATACTCGATCACACATTTAGGCCCCCGATCATCCTCCCACAGCTCGCGGACTAGCCTCAGCGGACCTCGAAGATTCCGGCCATACACCAGCTCTGCCGGTGCGAACCCGGTTCCCTCGTGTGGCACTGTGCGCAACGCAAATAGCGTGCCCGGTAAACAACCATCCCAATCACACTTCCTTTCATGGCAAACAGCTCTCAATACTTTTTTTAGGGTAGCATGCCATCTCTCCACACTGTTGCTTTGTGGGTGGTAAACCGAGCTATGCAAAATTTCAACGCCACATTTCTCGAGAAACATGGTCGTGAGAGCACTCGTGAAAACGGTTCCCTGATCCGATTGCATTTCGGCAGGGAAACCGAGGCGCGAAAATATAGAAAGCAACGCATCGACTACCTCGACCGAAGTTGCCTCCTGTAAGGGCACCGCCTCGGGGAACTTCGTTGCAGGACACAATAGTGTGAGAATGTATCTGTTCCCCGCACTTGTTTTCGGCAACGGCCCCACCAAATCTACAACAACTCTGCGGAAGGGCTCAGAAATAATGGGCACTTTTACCATCGGGGCCTTCCATTTGTCGTTAGACCTACCGGCTCTCTGGCAAGCGTCACAAGTCTTCACGAAATTCTGCACGTCCCTGAAACACCCCGGCCAATAAAATTCCTGTAGCAATCTTTTCTTCCTCCCTTTGTTTCTTCTCCTCACATATCTTTTCCCAGGCCTCGCTGAGCTCGTCCTCCTCGAAACCCCCTTCGATTATCGCACTGCGAATTTCGGGCTTCCTTAACCTGCTATTGATATCCAAGCTGAGCTCTACTGCTAACAGCAACAGCTCTTCTTTCTTTAACACTCCGATATCCATATCTTCACAAGAGCCAACCAATACTTCTGCAATATTCACCGCACACTTGTGGCGGCCCTTCAGAGCCAATTGCCCGATAGAACCCTGTTCTTATCGTCCGGCAAAACGTGATCGCTCAAGCACTCACCTAACCTCGAGCTGCCGAAGGCCGTGTCTCCCGGAGCCACGTTCCCAGGTCCGCCGATCCCAGATCGTCGGGTCTGCCTTCTGCTGCTCGTCCTTAGTTTCCGGTAGTCGTTACTGCGACGGTTGTGCCTCCCGGAGCCACGAAGTCTCGCTCTGCCGATCCCGGATCCGCAGAAGTCGATCTTCCGTCCGCAGCTACTTCCAACCTCGAGCTGGCGAAGGACGTGTCTCCCAGAGCCACGTTCACAGGACCGCCGATCCCAGATCGTCTGGTCTGCCTTCTGCTGCTCGTCCTTAGTTTCCTGGAGTCGTCCAAAACTTCATGCCGTTACTGCGACGGTTGTGCCTCCCGGAGCCACGAGGTCTCGTTCTGCTGATCCCGGATCCACAGAAGTCGATCTTCCGTCCGCAGTTTTCTGCATGCCTTTTCTTGATTCCACCGCTGCCATCCAGTTTGTAGCGTCGTCGGGGTAGATTGGGTGGGATGACCAAGATCAGGCAGGTCATGAAAGCAGGACGTCCATTTAGGAAACTTGAAAAAAAGGATTTATTTGCATTCAAAGAAAAGTTAACTGGTCATCGTTGTTCCCCCTCCTGCGCCCGCCGTCTCCTCCGTCCTTTTTATCCCTCTCGTTGCCGCCCCTCTCCCTCTATCTCGGTCCATCAGTCCACTTCACGAAAGGCAGGGGCGGCCCGCAGTCAGAGGGGGGGATCAAGGGGGTGAATCGTCCACCCGGAACCCGACTTCCCCTCAGCTCTATGCTCAGTTGTTCCGGGTGGACCCATCCCTCCAAGAAGCAGCGACGAATCTTTCGTTCCCCGAAACCGCCGCCGCATTCCGCAGGGCCCAGCCGTGGCGCCAGCGCACCGTCCCGCGACACAATGGTCAGCCTCAACAGTCGCTGCGTTCGCGGAACTGAGTGGCGGCGATATCGCGCTCGCCTCGAAGACGTCACTGGCAGCGGGACGCAACAATACATTTCCGGGAAGGATGAGAGCAAATTAAAGACTCACAACCAGCAGGACACCCTTTAGAGGCAAGAAGTCACGACAATGCGTTGCGCTACATTCCCCTCATGGGACTTTCTGACGAGGCATGACATTGCAGAGCTTTCCCAGCCACCCTACAGCCCTGACGACACTCTTTTTTAGAAAGACTGATTCATCTTCCCTCAACTGAAAAGGGTCATGGAAGGTAGGGTACCACGGCTCAGTCCAGGCCATTCAAAAGAGCATAAGGATGGGGCCGAAGAGCATTCTAATTTCTGCAATCGAGGGAGCCTTCAGTAATTGGCAGGGCCGCTGGAAACGCTGTGTTGATGAAGAAAGAGCAAGTTTTAAAAGCTATCAAGTCGATGTGTCTAGGTTTCGAATACATTAAAAAAAATGCAGCCCTACTTTACTTTCTAGACAGACCATGTATAAGTTGTTATTTGTGACTGCGGTCAGGCAAAGGAGATGTGCAGCGCACGAATAAGCCACCATGAGGACGCACAAATTCACATTTTGGGATTTTACGTATCAAAACGACGATATGGTTACCAGGCAGCTCGCTGTAGAAGAGTCTAGGTTGGTTTTGAGTCATACAGCAGCAAGTCAATCAGTTTATTTTTCATCGGCTTATCCGACACACTAATAACCATACATACTCATGATCTGGCATTGCTGTGTCACCTTTATGAAAGAGAACGCACCGCGGAAAACAGCTTAGTCATCCGCACAGTCAGGCAGCTAGATTTGATAAAAGAAGAGAGTGGAGTCAAATCCTTCCCCCACCCATGCTTGCTCGTTTCACACTTCGTGCGTTGATAAACCATCAAAGGGAGATGACCCGATGAATCTGACAAGAAAACCACGGCTGCCTGTCATCCTCACTGTTGACGACAATCAGTGGTTCTGAATCTTCGGTACAGGCACCAAGCGTCGATATCAATTTGAAATAGTTCTGGTACGATGGCCCGCCAGAGTGAATAAGGCGAAAGCTTGATGTAGAGGTGCAAGCAGAAAACAGTGCCTCCTACTCCTTTTGCATTGGCATGACCGTGCACCATGTGGCCAAAGGGCTATTTAACTGCCACGCCCGTTACATGTGTTCTGTATCATTCAGATGACGACAATTGTTCATGCGGTTTGGCGAACACGTTAACTATTCAGAGTCGAACAAAATGACGCAGATTATTGGTGACTTCCCCGATTGCAACGTATGTGCTGGGTGGCTTTTCTACAGTACTTGCTGCACGTTACCTCAGCGCAATAGACGAAACCAAGGCAACGAACTGAGGTGTTGCGTTTTCAATTGTGGCATGCCTCTATGACCACGCGATGCAGGCACGGATGTTCACAGTGAGCTGCGCGGGGGAGCTAGGAAAGTGACTTACCCGAAGGTCCTTGAAGAAGATGGTACTGCGCGCCCAGTCCACTTGCGCAAAAAGGGACTGGTCGATGACCTTGCACATGAGTTCGAAAAGGTCAACTTCACACTGGTTGTACGTCTGGTTCTGGAGCAGCCCAAAGAGCTGCGTCTGCCACTCCTTGTCGTCCAGCATGTTCTTTTGGAACTCGCGGACCAGCACCGGCACCTTGGCGTCGTCGGGGGACACCAGAGGGCCCTGCTCGTACGCCGTTGGGAACGGCTTCGGCGGCGAAGACGGGCCCTGCGAACCCCCCACATGGCACAAATGCGTTGTCATGTTCACACAAGCAAGCTTTCTACACGCGCGCGCGCGCGAGGGACTGTCTCCTGTTGGGCCTCTAGTGCACGATGCGCACGCCTATACAATATGGCGCGTCCTGTGACGCCTCGCTGTGTGCCAAGACTTCACCGATTAAAGAATGGCGGCAACGCACAACTACAATACTAAATTACCCATTTCACGCCTTCATTCATTATTGTTTTTTTTTGCAGCGAAGCTATATAAGTCCCCAGGGTTTCATGTATAATTCGTGTTTGTCCACTAACAATATATAAAAAAAAGGTGGGGCGGGGGCAGGGTCGATCCCACATATAATGGAATACTGCACCGACGATAGCGGACGTGAAGCAGGCTTAAATCATTCCGCCCCTATTAATAGAAATAATAACGAATAGTATTGGCGTAATAAATAAAAAAAAAGCCAGATCCCACGCATACCTTGGGAATCGACGTTACACGAAGCATGCGGAAAAAACGTGACCTTGCTGTAATATTTTTATTGAGCAACCCGTCATGAAATGATGCTAAATATATGTATAAATGTTGCACGCTCACAGATATATATTTAAAATTTGCAGATATTCACTTGTACTGTGAACAGAAAGGGTTAACGGATGTGCACGTGCACCATGGTGTTGAGGTTATCGCACATAGCTTCCGAGATTGCATCCAGCAGAAAACGCGCCATTGCCAATCACCGAGGCCGTGTACGGTACAATGGTACGGCACAGTAGGCGGCGCAGCAGTGCAGTTTTCCGAAGAGTTACTCTATATGCTACCTTTAGCATATACGGTAGCATATACAGTAACTCTAGTTTTACGTACAGTGCCTCGATGCGCGCGCCACGCAGCGGAGGCGAACGAGCGCATCGAGGAACTCTAGTCTTCCGCCACGCGCTGCGCATCCCACAAACTTTTGCTGTTGACAGCACCAGTGAACACAACCCAAATGGCAACTGCATGTGTACACGCAAGGCCGCGTGGCTGACTTCGATGACGATAGTTATAGAGCGAGAACAAAATGAGGACACAGAGACAAGAAGGACAAGTGTTGTGTCGTCGTTTCGTTCTCGCGCTATAACTATCGTCCTGCCATACCAACTTGCCCAAGCTGCCACACTTCTAAGGCCGACTTCGACCCGCATGTGACCGCGAACACGGTGAAGCAGGCTCGTATAGCAATGAACACCGGCCACGCCTCACGGGATCTGACCCAACTTAAGGGCGTAGCCGAAAACTTTTGACGAGGTATGGTGGCTCGAATGCCCTTGTTAAAATTTTAAAGATAAGGAGGTTGCACTACTTAAACTCCACCTTTGTTAAAAAAGTTCAATTTACCCCAGCTCTGGATATACCTACGAACTCAGAACTGCACACACTTTATTCGGACGGACTGAAATTTCGATTGCACACTCTCAGTTGCAGTAACGCGAGCGACCTAGTATATTCGTCCGCGGTGAAGCATAGACTTAATTAAGCTCGCCACACAAATGATCATGCCGCACCTTGAGGCACGAAACAGCACACGTAAAAGCAACATGTGTTTAGGCTTTCCAAGGGCTGTTTGCTTCCCCCCCTCTCCTCAAGCAAGAACAAAAAAGAAATTGCCGCGTTGAGACGTGCGAAACACCCGATGCTCCTTATATGCGGCAACGACTACATCATGCGAGCATAAAATCTTATGATTTATTGCGTTTCACCCGTGAGGTCCTATATGTCATTGGGCCATTACCACACAACCATCCGCCCATTTCTTTGACGATTTCATTGCCGCTTTCAGTTATTCTACTTGTTCCAACTATACGCATACACCCGCCTTAGCGTGCAGTTTCGTGGTGCCTAATTAGTGCAGACAGCATACTGCGGCAACCCACCGGCACAGCGCCGTGTACTCGCTATACGGGTTACGTTCTTTCCTTTACTGCACACATCGGCAAGTATTGCAACAGCCGTCTACTCATTCACGAAATGAACTAACCCATATGGTTTCACAACTAAATTTTTTTTTTAAGAAAGAGTGCTTCATGTAATGCTATAGCTAGCACTAGTTCTTTAGCGACTTGCATTTGGCCGAATGTCGGAACACGACTGCAGTATCACGTGTAGTATATACGTGTTCTGAAATACAGAGTGATCTCTGCACTTGACGTATAAAAGCGACACTACTGACCCGTGTATGGTATTACTTTCTTTGTCTTTTTTGCAAGACAGCAGGAAAATTATGAGCACCTCGCTAGCCAATTTCAACACAGGCTTGACTGAAACTTCACGGTACATGTGAACAGCAGCGAGGCGCTGCTGTTCAAACAAGCGTGACAAGGACAGTTTGCCACGGGAGGCCCTTCCTTTGGCATGAATAGCAGTACCACGAGACTGACAGGCACAATTGAACATCGATAACGATAATACCATATATTATAAGTTAGAACAAACCACTTATCGAAAGATTTTCCGACATGACTCGAAGTCCATCAGTGAAGAACCCGAACAGGCTGCCGTTAAAACCACCAAGGAACTCACTGCCACCCAAAACGGGCTATCCGTTAACTCTAAAATGCATTTTTGTAGGATACGAGAAAAAAATCGGCAAATCCCACGTACCTTGGGAATCGACGTTATGTGAAGCAAGTGGAGGAAAGGTGACCGTGTTGTAATTTATTATAGGGTTACACATTATGAAATGACGCTAAATATATGCAGAAATGTTACACGCACCGACCTATTTGAACAGTTGCAGATGTTTATATAACCAGTTGTTTGCACTTGCGCAAAGGTGCCAACAGGAATACGAGTATCAGCAACATCAGTAGCAATAAGCTGGTATGAAGCGCTCGTGCTTGCAAGGATGGTAGGACTGGACGCTGCTATACATAAATCAACTTCAGCGCATAGCACCTAACTACAATTTTGGTTAACACGACATGAAGGCTGTATCATAGGAGTGCATACATAATGTTTATAAAATTGGATAGCCAGCACTGCAGCCACAATTGACGTTTCATGAACATTAGTGTCTATTTGAAAAGTAGTTCCGAGACTTGGCGTGGCTCTGTGGTAAAATGCTTGATTGCCACGCAGAATGCTGCAGGCGTTTGATTCCTTCTGGAACCCTGAAATTTATTTTATGCATTCGTTAAACTAGCACTGTAAATGTCAGCCCTTTTTTAAGGCTCACATGTTAAAATTACTCACGTATGTTCTCGCCTTTACTGGGTCTCACCATTCTTCCTGGGTAGATATAAAATGTCTATCACCTGTGGCACATACTCGCGCGCGGGTACGTGCCACTGTCTGGCACGAAGTGCAACTTTGGCGACGAAGGTGACGGGACGGTGACGTTATTCATGTCTGCACCAGGCCGTTATATTTGTCGAACCATCTTACCCTTTCATACTAATTTGGGTTTACGTTAAGTTCGAGGGGTGATCCCTAGAGCACCCATACGTAAGTGCATGATTGATTGATTGATTGATTGATTGATAGACAGATAGACAAACAGACAGACCGACAGACAGACAGACAGACAGACAGACAGACAGACAGACAGACAGACAGACAGGTAGGTAGGTAGGTAGGTAGGTAGGTAGGTAGGTAGGTAGGTAGGTAGGTAGAGACAGACAGACAGACAGACAGACAGACAGACAGACAGACAGACAGACAGACAGACAGACAGACAGACAGACAGACAGATAGACAGATAGATAGATAGATAGATAGATAGATAGATAGATAGATAGATAGATAGATAGATAGATAGATAGATAGATAGATAGATCAACCCTACAGTGAACTTTATTCCCCAATACATTGAGGAGAGATTGTCTCCTTGCCAAAAACATTTTTGTTTTTCAGCTTTTATGAATAGTTGTTGCAACTGCCTAACCTCTGCAGATATTTCCAGACATATCGTAGAGTTGACAGACTCGCGCAACGAACCTATAATTTCTGGTGCATTGAGGAACCGAATGCTACTTGTTGCATAAACTTTTTAACTATTCACTGATGAAGTGGATGTGATCCACCTCTAGTGCATGTGTAGCGAATGTCAGAATGGAAAATGATAGGCGCAATGCTTGTAGGCAGAAACACAGACGATGTATCCAATACTATAGTTAACTTGGAACATGTGACTTAATGCACCGACAAGATCGGTTCTCTGTAATGACAAAAGATTATCTGTCAGTAGAAGGGAAATGCTACCTGGACAATCAAACAACTAGATGGTACGAACAAGTTAAAAGTAGAATAATGTACTTGAATAGTATGCAGATGGTTGTAACAAGAAAAGAGCATTTTGATATATCCATCAAAGGCACCTCACATAAAAGATTATTGAAATAGTTCCATTGCTTTAAAGCAGGCTTGCACAAGTTTCAGGGGAAAGTAGCTGATATAGTTACAACCGTCAACAACGTTACTGATTACAGAGATGGAGAGACAGAAAAACAAGTTTAATGATGGCAAGACGAGGTCGCTGAAGTTAGTGTGAAGGAGGTCCAAAGGCTGGTGGCTTGTAGCTTGACACGACCATTTGGGCCCAGTTACTCGCTTCTGCCTGAATGCGGTACTCTGTTGAAGACGGGAGTGACTCACACGCCTCGCTGGAAGAAGCTGACAGTTTCGGAGGTGGGTTCCCTTCACGTACTCAAAGAATGTGATTTTGGCTGACCTTCATCAGCTGCTACGTCGGCAGTTTGGTTGAACCATAGTGTCAAAATAGCCATCTATCTATCGCCGTTTTGGGTGGCACGTAACGAAACCATTCGATCCAATCGAAGGTTGCAATAGTTTAGTTTGTTGGCACGCACGCTGCTCAAAAACGATGCGGCAAAGTGCAGTCATTGTGTTGCGCAACGCATGGAAGTTCGCGTCAAAAGTGAGCACAGCGCAGCTCGACCTATAAGATTTGGAATGTTGCTGGCTTCCCCGCTTCTTCCTAACCAAGATGAAATGCATCAAATTCTATTTTCATTGTACAGAGGTTCGATTGTACGATTCATCTGTGGCACTAAAAAAAAAACCATATATATGTTTTTTAAATAGAAGATTGTCCGTGTAAGGAATAAAAAAGGAGACGTCATGCCCTTGGGGAACTCATATTTTGGCAATTCTTGTCATGGCTCCCCTTCCCCCATCGCACACGCACGTGTGTTTGTGTGTGTGTGGAGCGTCACTGTGAGAAACCCCTACTTCACCATCCAAATATGTCAGAAAGACATTGTCACATAGTATGCCTCACAGATACATCCAAGTGCTGGAGCATATTCTATCGTTACTAATTATTTGTATTTTCCGAGGTTTAACACATCTGACGTTGAATTCCTTAGCTGCAGGCACTTACAACTCACAGCATTTTCTCTTGCAACTTTTCGACTCGCAAAACGTCATCCATTTACATCACTCTTCCCTAATATTGTTACCGACACTCATGTGGAGATGCCACTACACCCAGAGTGTCGATGTAATGGAAACATTTATCTGATTATATATATATATATATATATATATATATATATATATATATATGAGTCGACCATTTATGTATGCACATGAATACGTTATGATTTACTGTTTTTTCTTGAGGGCGCAAAAGGCACGAGTTGTGTGTTATGACTAATTTCTTTGAAATTTTCTGGTGCTACTTAGCTTGGACCTGGACTATACAAAGCAAAGACCGCAGAGCTAGGTAGGTGCTTGCTTTTGTTTTTCGTCCTATAGAGTGAGAGTGCAGCCAGCCATGGTCACGAACGACGACGTCAATGGCTGCCGTCATCGTCAATGTAACAGACAGGACAGACAGAGGGAACCCAGCTTCAAGCACCTGCCGCCCTATAATGCATACACGACAGTGTACGTATGTAAAACACGGAGTAGCTCATCTGTCCGATCTTGGCCTGCGTATAGAGTTAAAGGGTTGGCGCGTGGAGCACCCTGTCACAGCCATGCTATGTGTTCGTTATCTAAAGGGTCTCAATCGGTGACCCATTCAAAACCTGCAGTGTCGTCAATGCATTCATTAAAAAGGAATAATTTATCTTATCACAAACAAGATTATATGCTGCGAATTGCGTGAAATTCATCCGCATGGGTTCTTCAAATGCACGTGTGTGTAGATATACTTGCGGCATAGTATAGATCTGTCATTATTTTTCTAGGTAGTATCCAGCTGAGGTTTACCGAGATAATTGCTTAATCCGGTATTTTCTGCTCTAGACAGGGTGCCTAGTAGTGTTCGCGAACAATACATATTCCGCTGTTGCCGAAAGACCTTTATTGCCCTTACAAACGCTTCAACCAATTGTGTTCGTGCGAGACCATACAAACCGAAAATAAGTACCATTTTGGGTCTAATTATATTTCTAACGTACACACTACTAACAAGATAATTATATTTTGCCTCGGCACGCCTGTACTCAAGAGAATGATCCCGGTACACTAATATGCAGTGCCAAGCGAGGGTAACCTTGCTTCAGCCTGACGAAAGAAAACACGTTTCATCGGTGCTCGAAGCTGGCTTTCCAAGGCGTGGATACCGATCAGACTGATTGGCGATGTGTGGTGCAGGCGAGCAGGAGCATAGAAACGCTGGTCATTGTACACAAATGGTGCGATCAGACGCCGACCAATGCAGGACTGGCACTGCATTGGCTCAACTGCAGCGAATGCGCCCCTGGTCGCCTAGAAAAGTCGCTTGACACGCTTACTACCTTCCCATCCCCGGTTTCATCCCAAAAACTGACCACTGGCCCATCAATTAGACGGGCCGCAAGGACGAGGACAGGAACCGGAAATAAATGACAACTAGAACAGGTTCGTCTTTGTATTGGATTCGGACGTTAAACCCCACATATCAATCGTCTTTGTATTGCACAGGGAGGGTCCTTGGGTGCGCCGAAGCGCCTTTATCGCAAGACAGGCGGCCACCAGCCCGGCGAAATCATCCGGGCGCGATTGTCCCTGTTCTCGATCGCGTCGCAAGGACCGTCAAATGAAGCGCTACCCAGGAGGCGCGAATAGCGCACCTGCGTCAGCCAGGCTGGCGTTGGCGGCGCCTGTGGAGGAGCCGTCTTGTCCGGCTGAGCCGCCGTCGGCGCTGTCGGGTAGTGACCTTGCTGAGCGGCTGCTGACGGCGGGCCACCGGGCGGAGGACCCTGTTGCTGCTGCTGCTGCCCTTGGTGCTGCTGCTGTGTCGGATGTGGCTGGGGCACAAGTGCCATGGGCTGGCCCACGAGTCCCGCAAGTGGCGAGGGCGAAGAGTCGGGCGAGCTCGTCGAAGAGCTCAACTGGGGAATCTGTATCTCCTGCTTGATGGGCCCACCGGGCTCTGGAGAGTAGAGGCCCGGAGACGAGACGGACGCCGACGGCGGCAACGAGTAGTGGACTCCCGCGGCCGAGCCGACGCTCAGCGGTCCGCCGCCGCCCGACGCCTCCGAGCCGCCCGAGCTGCACTGCGACATGGCGAGCTGCTTCTGGCGCAGCATCTGCAGCTTGCGGGCCCGGTCACGCTTGTACATGGGGCCGAACTTGTTGCGGCCGCCCCTCATGCGGTCAGCTCGCACCGCTGCACAGAGGAAGAGAGAGAACGGCGCCGTTAGTTTGTTCGTCTCACGACACTGATAAGACAGTCACTCGGCAAGATAAGTACGACAATCAAGCCACAAGAAGCAGCGAGGTTCATCCCTCTATGGTGCATTGAGCCAGTCCTCGGTTCTATAGTTACTCGTACGCCTCTTTCTACTTTTTTTTACATAAAGCGATGTAGAGGGAAGCATGTGGACTGCATTATGATCGCTTGTCGAGTTTATAAACAGAACTACGAGATAGCGCTAGCATAAAGCGAGTGCATCCTATACGCTGTGCTCGAGATATTATCGACGTTCCCATGAACACAACATGCGACGCATCGTATTGCATTGCGCTTCCAGCACACTATGCATGTATACGGGTTGTAATGCGTTAGGAAGGTGAATCGGTTAGCCTGATAGGAGAGGTTACATACGAGACGACTTAAGTTGTCCCATCGGTGCATGTAAACACTGGCGTACCAGGTCGAGTGAGACCAGAAAATGAGGCACTTGGTATGCCATATACTCTCTTTCAATCATCGGCGGAATGCAAGCCGCCGCAAGAGGTATACCGGATAATTTATGAATGCGCCGTGGTGTATTAAGAAATGCGTTGTCGCATGCCCAACTACCTCGACGTGTTACTGAATAATTTAGCTTATTGATTAAATTAGCATTTGTAGAAATCGTCAAAGGCACTAGGCACGTTAAAGGAAGGCATGCATAGTGGCTTTCAAATTAACTGCAACGTATGTCAATATTTTTAAGCCATGTGCCACGTCCCATTCATTTAGCAGTGATGAACGGGCTAGCATGAAATAAAATACGGCAGCAAAAAGTGTAATGTAGCGCCTCGAAGATCCTTCGATAAATCAAATGCTCGGTGTAAATGTGCTCAGTACCAATTAAAGAAGTGTCACTAAGCCGTAACATTTTACATTTTCTCTGATAGCGTGGTTAACTCGATTCACGTAGCGAAACCGGAATGCAAAAGAACGTTCGAAAGATACGACAAAAATCAAGCGGATTGCGACAAATATTGAAGGCGAACGCCAGCGTAGATAGCACTGCAACCAACTTAAGTTAAAATACGAGTTAATTTCGGTGACAACGGTATGCGAACCATGATCGCATTCTGACGCACGCTTAACTGACTTCGTATTATTTCTGGTGTTCTTCAGACGTGCACTTTCATGGATGTGCATGAGTGCTCATGTGCTTCATTCCTCGTCTAAATGCAGCGACTGTGCCAGGGTTCCAACCCTCGAGTGGTTGCTGCATCGAGGAGCACCAAAAACGTTGTTTTATCCCCAAAAGAAAGAGAAAGAAAGCACGTCTACGCGTTACGTGGTAGACTAATAATATGAGAGAGAGACTTTTTTTTTTTTCAAACTCGAAGATCACGTGAAGTCAATGTATCTCGATTTCGCACTTTCACGGAATAGTAAAGGGCGCGCAGATGGCGATGGCGATTGTTTTTGAGGCACTGATGACCTATTTCGGACAGCAAAATAATGACTGCGGCTGCGGCGGCTGCATTTCCGATGGAGGCGGAAATGCTGTAGGCCCGTGTGCTCAGATTTGGGTGCATGTTAAAGCACCCCAGGTGGTGGAAATTTCCGGAGCCCTCCACTAGGGCGTCTCTCATAATCATATGGTGGTTTTGGGACGTTAAACCCCACATATCAATCAATCAAAATAATGACGTCGAAATAATAAAGTATAAAGTGGCCTCCGCTCTAGCAAGCTTCTGGCCTGGCGCACAACGGCCGGAGCAGACGCGCCGAGAAAGACTGCGGCGGCAATGGCCGCTACGCACCGCGCGACCCGCCGTCGCATCTAATTCGGCTCGGCGCCAAATTGACAGCACCACGTCAGCGGGCGCGGAGGGAATGCTGCCACATTGCGCGGCGTTCGTGCACTCTCTCGTTCCGTGGCTCACTTGGACGCCCGCTTCTCTCTATCTGCTGCACGCACTGCAGCGGCCGCCGGCAAGACGCGTCGTTCGCATCAGCGGGACTGTATAGACGGCTTCGTTATGCTTTGTTAACACGCATGCTGCATTAGCATACGTAACACTACGTCATATAATTTTCAGGTTACGACAACGAATCCAGATTATAGTTGACACACACACACACCTCTCGCAGACAGCAAAGTAACCGTACGTGGTTCTGAGCTGGGCAGGAGCTTTTTTTTTAAGCGCTGCACTATGATACAGTTCCGTTTGAAGGGGCGAAAGTGACGCTGAGGCAGCAAGTAACAGCGTGCCACCATGTAGCGCGTGCGCCGCTCCAAACTTAGTGGCAAGTGTGAAAAAGTTTTTGCCGTGTGCACATTTTAAGTTGCGATTGATAATAAACTGAGACATACATACATACATACATACATACATACATACATACATACATACATACATACATACATACATACATACATACATACATACATACATACATACATACATACAGGTGAGCTTGTACGCTGTATTATCAAAGAAGCTGCGAGGTAGACACGGACACAAGAAAACACAACCAGACAATAGAAAGATCGGCTGTAAGCTGAAAGGGCGCACTGCGGCGGTTTTTATTGTTCCGAGCGTTTCGAGTAGGGCCCTGCTTTCATGGCGCCAACTCTGCAACACTGGTACTATCGGATCGATCACCCTTCCATCAAGAGGTCTTGTGGAAAAGGAGTGGAACTGGGCCAAGAAGTGTCGATTGTTACGTATTTCGCAGCTCTACACGCGCACAGCCACGAAATTCGGGCATCGTGAAAGCCACGTAAACGGTGATATTTTTAAATCTGTCAAGAAATTCTATAGGATAATGAAATAGAAAAGTTGCCTACAATATGTACACGATCGCCTTATCCTACTGAGTGAAAGAGGGACGGAAAGACACATTCTAAATAGTTGAACCTTAATTACCAGTTAACATACGCGAAGTTATCGGTACAACCTTTGGGTTACAAAAAAATTTTCGCCGGAAACTGCAAACGACTTTTCGAATAAAGTTAGGGCAACAAATCGACGAACCCCGTCAGTTCGATGCTCTGCACATAAAAAATCCAGGAGCGTATACCTGCAGGCATACGCGGATGTTGCTCTGGATTCCGGCCAAGAAGGCACGTTTCTTTATTAATATTTTTTAAATCACCCATCCGGTATGAGCGGGATTAAGCTTGATCGAACATGTTTCGTTCACAGAGCACAACAGAACGTTTAGTACTTCTTTCCTTTACCTTTTTGACTAACCAGAAAATGATCTGAAACTATGTATGTCGCAAAAAAGAGAAGACAGAAAAATTGCGATAAACAAAATCAAAATAAAAGTAAAAAAAAATAGTTGTGCGCTATTGGTGATCTATGCCGAAGGAAATTATAAGGATACTGGCAGATTTCATCAACTTCTTTGGCATTGAACCCATTCATTGCGACGACAGCCTCAGAAACATTTATAATTTGACGAGTTAGGCCGGCGCTCGTGTCTTCTCGCACTACGCGTATTTACAACGACTTCAGGGTCGAACCGGGAAATGCGCACTGCTCTACATGTTAAAGAAGCCTGTGCGCAACAGATGCACATAAGCCGACCGCATACGTATGCATTACATTGGCGTAAATCAGGCGGGGGACGGGGTCAGAACCCCCCTTATGCTACGGTTGGGGGGGGGGACACCCTTTGCAAGTGTCCCCCCTTCAGATTTAGCTTTAGAACATTATGTACTTGAATTTTTGAACTGCTTGGTTCAACTTTCTTCGAAGGATGATTGTTCTTTTTATATGTACACGAGTTCAGTACCGCTCGGCCGTGAGAGACTACAGAAGTCGCAAAAGCCACTCGACCGGTTCAAAGAAGACTGAAAAGAACAATGCAATTACTCGAAGTCGGACCCCATGCTCGTTTTTTTTTTAAAAATTATTTCAAAGAATGGCTTCATTCTTGTATAAATAAAAATACAACCCATATTAAAAAAAAAACAAGATGGCTATCATGGTCTCAGAACTAACTAGACGGTGCTGCGGCGCTCGCTCCACTCTGATCCGTGCATGCGTGCTCTCGTGTGACGGAAGACCGCGTTCGCTCTCGGCGCGCTTCCTCTTTCGCCGGCAGTCTGTGTGCTTCGAGCGACGAAGACAAGGCGGCGCAGCGTAAGGCTCGGAAAGCGGGCTGCAGCGCGTGCTCGTCGTCTTTACATGACGATCGATTGGAAAGATTTACGGGGGATTCGCGGTTTAGCAATGCACAGCCGCGGCCACGTCTGTGCAAGTAGAGCGCTCGAGCAGCCGGTTCTCGCTCTGTGGGCCGAAACCTTGCGACAGTTTCGGGCTCTGTAGTGGTGTATCAGGAGCGTGAGCGGCCTAGTTGTCAGGCTGACCCCGTCAGAGCCTGATACTGCCCCAAGGTTTCGTCCCGCAGAGCAGAAGCCGGCTGTTCGCGTGCTCTACGCAGACGTGGCTGCGGCTGTACCTCCGGAGTTTCGCTCACTCATCATCACTCACTCCGCGGATATGCGATGACTCTTGAAAACTTTTCCCTTTCCCCTCTTTTCATCCCCACCTCTTCATCGGAGTTACAGCTGGCGGCACCATGTCGTATCTGCGATCTGATGCTCCACATAACATAGAGACGTCACAGTCGCTGAGTGTTCGAGCTTTAAACATTATTTGCGTCAACGAACATCACATCCTGAACACCGAAGCGCGGCCAAGATTCGCATAGTGTATCGGCGCGGAAATAACGCGAAGCGGGGCGCTTGGCTGCAGCCAGCGCGGTGCACCAGAAGCGTCGCAGCTGGAGCGGGACAAGGACAGCCGCGACAATCGGTGTCGCGTAGCCTCTCGCAACCTCGCTCTCTTTAGCACGAAAGTGCGTGCACAGAACGCAAGCAGCGCAGAAAGTCCTCATTTATAGCTGCACGCATATACGCCGCAAATATGGGCTACAGGACTGTCATGTCTACAGAGGGACCAAAAAAAAAAGTACAGGGAAGA